TTACGGACACACAGTCACGCATCTGATGCTTACCAAACTGATACGGTGGCGCCAGGCTGTAGTTGTGATCACAACCACTGAACGGTATCCTCCTCCTCCCTTTCTCCTTCCTTCCAACCAAAAGTGCTTACCTCCATGTAACAGCAGACAGTCTCGCTTCTTTCTTGTTTCAATCAACTTGCTCTTTATTGCTTTTACGCTTCTGCATCAAGTTCAATTTTTCACTTTTGAATAAAAATATGGCATTTCTTTAACATCAGATAATGTTCGCGCAATTGAAAAAAATGCCTCCAGTTTATAATAAGGAAAAAAGAGCATTAATTTCTCAAGAAATGTTTATTTTATTTAGACTTTAAATTCTTAAGTACTGTTACAAAAATATGAAGATGTTTTTTGCAAAAAATTTGGTGGGACTTAGGCACAGAAATGAGGTGGACACATTCTTTACAGAAAACGAGCAAATGATCAAAATTTAATTTTATAGAGCGCTGGTTTAAACAACATGTCTCACCTAAGCGTTGGATGTGTATGTAATATCCAATTTAAAATTTCAAAAACGTAAGAGAACTTTTAAAATAAACTCATTCAATGTTTTGACACCAAGGTGCATATGCACTCATTGCGGGAAAGGTTGATCCTTCAAGTCGAAAAACTGTTATGAGCTCTCTTTGTTATATTTTTATCAAGAAAAATTTGCTCCATGACTTCAAAAAATACCTTTTGTCGATAAATTTTTTTGAAGTATAATTCCTCAAAATCATTTTCTTACAGATAAAGTTGAATAAAGCCTTTCACAGAGCGATGTATAAAGCAATAAAAGTCTTTTAAAAACAGTGACTTGAAGTTTCTGTGAAAGTTACTGAGTGCCAAAAATTGAAAAAAAAAAAAACAAAAAACTGGGTTGGCAAGTTTAATTTTTTTACTTAAACTAATTCTAAAGTACACTGAAACCGAGATATTTAAGTTTACTTTTCAATATAAACATAAATTCAAACTAGTTTTGTTCACTTCTAATACAAAGTCTGACTTTCGCTAGCAAATTCGCCACCAGAATCTCCTACATTTTTAAAAACCTAAAAACTCCTCTTCAAAAAAAGAAAAAAATAAATAAAATTAAAAAAAAGTAAAGGAGAGAAAAGAAAAAGAAATTAGGAAAAGCGTTATCAACAGGTTAAACTGCTGTTAATCTGTTTTAAGTTGTCTAATAACACTTTTTCAATTCTTGAAGATGAATCGTCTCATTCTGTTTATAACCTGAACATTTGCTGAATAAAAAAATTCTGCTCACTACGCAATTTAGATAGGCAAAAAATTGATCTTTCCCTTCGAAAAAAACTTCTCGAATAATCATTTATGTATGGCTTTCCCTTTAATGCAAAAATTATAAGAGGAATGTGGAATACAAGATTATTTTCAGATTCTATATATAAGAATTAGGGGTATTTCAAAATGACTGCCTTCAAGTCGCATTCCAAGCTGCAAACTATCACGATAGCTGTGACCTTCTAAAGTAACACTAAGAAATTAGTGCCATCCTATAAAATTAAACAATTAAAGTCAGTACTGATAGGCTGTGTAAACAAAGATATTAAATATTAAAAGTTTGGCCTCCATGAAGACAAACTTTGTAACAAGTAGCAGTGATAGACTTTTTATTAAAAAGGGGATTCGGTTATCAACGTTTCCGTCATCAAAAGATGAAGTGTTTAGATTTACAGTACTATGCACTTCCAGAACTCTTCGTTCTTTCCCCTTTAAGAAGACCAAACTTCTTTAAGAAGTAATATTTTTTAAATTTTTGAAAGCTTTTTTATTTCATATTTTGTCTCCTGCCGAGTGATATTTGAGCGCCTGCTAAAACTACTATAAATTCCGACCCTTAAAGCGCCAAAATTTTCACTTGCAACTTTTCGCACATCACATCCCGCTACTTACTAAAAATGAAAAAAAAAGTTTATTTAGGAGAAGATAAGTGGCTAAAAAGCCGTCTTTCACTAAGCATCCATTATGCATTAATAAAAAAAACCCCTCATTTACTGAAGCAATTTGAACTTTTTGAACAAAACTATGGCTTATTAATTTCTCTGCAATAACATTCTTTGCGGCGGCTCCAGGATTACGGTAACGTGGTCTGCCTGCGTACCAAAAAACGTTAAGTTCAAATTAGGTAGTTTTTACTTGGCTTGCCGAAGGCACTTTGTAGTTATTTTGCCTATTTTGATGTCATCTTCTCGACCAAATTTCTGCCACCTGTTAAACCTCATCACAATTTAATCCCATTTCTGAGTTGTTCGCTGTAATGGTTTATTTCTTTCTACTATTTTTGTTATCTTTTTCATTAAAATAACTTTCTTTTGCTCGTCTGTCCACTAATTTTTTTAGTCTTTAATTCTGTGAAGTGATTGTGTGAGCCTTGTAAAATTATTCACATGATAAGTGAGCCCATTTTGGTGAGAATTCACTGTCAAGATAAAGACGTTCTTAGTCATGGAAGTAAGTGATAGTATGTGACATCTCCACAGCCGCCTGGCATCCCACGTCCTGCGTCGTCGCGGTTACTTAGTAGGTCACTCGTCCGGTCGCACACCTTTAGCCTGAAGCATCGCATCTCAACCTCTTCTCAAGCCTCACTTTGCGAGAAATTTGTAAAGCAGCGACACAACTCACTTGTAAACCGGGTCCCATTGCCAACTCATTAATAAAACATGAAACTCAAAAGTTTAGTGCACTTTTATGAATATCGGTCGAATAACCTTTTAGTACCTCCGCATAACACAGAGTGCCAGTGTACCAAAGCAAAAGATTTTCAGCTTCTAAAAAGTTCCATATAAAATTAGGAATGACACAGCTTATATGTTTTACAGAATTTGAGTTATTCAAGTAACAACACTGAGTGCCATGAAGTGAAAGTAAAGGAATTAACCATGCAACGAGATTTAAAGTTCAGGCCTTAAAAACTGTAAATGTTTGCGATGAAATTTTTACTATAAAACTTAATCAAAATCTAAGCTTGATTTTTCCATAGCAGAAAGCGGTATTCTTCAACTTCGCGAGCAGAAATAGATTCGGCTGTTTGCATTGAAGGGAGCGACTGGAAGTATCGCGGCTGTGACAGTTAGCAGGGTTATCTCTCGTTGAAACGCGATTCAGCTTAGTTGCTGGAGTCTGTTACAAAACTGTTTCTCGCACACTTGTTTTCTCCGTGTATAGCACATTGTGATGTCGCCTCCCTTGTTTTTCACTACTATACTCCCGTTCATTTCCGATTATATGTCCAAGAATACTGGCGGGAAAATGAACTTGTTTTGGGAACGGCTCCAGCAAATTTGACACAGTGCCGCTGCGATGTAAAGAGGTATCTGTACGTTGAACCAGCGGACTCTGAAAAGGTATGCAAAACTTTTGTGTTACACGTGTGTATGAGGTGTAACAAAGAGCTTTTGTTTGAAAGTGTTTGACCTGTTTGTTTTCGGAATTTCATGCTTTTTGACTTCGATTCTGCCAAGAATTTAGCAGAAATGTAAAAGCGTTTTTGTTTTTTTTACACATTACCTTTTGACTTAATTACTTTAATAACTCAGTTAGTTGCGTGGAAACAGCTATCAGTTCTCTTATCGTCAAAGGGGACTACCGTATCCGTCCCCTATACGCTATATGCGAAAAATCAAAGATAGTCTCAAGTTTTTGCTTGAAAAAGAACCATTCTCCTTCCGAAAACATGCAAAAAAAAATCAACACTGGTAGTATTGCTGTCCTTCTTCCATCTGCCTTTTTTTCTCACTATTTTTTATCTTTTACTAATATTTTTAAGTATTTCCCTAATTATTGGGGTAAATGAGATTTATTCCGATTACCACTTTAATACAGCATATCTTCCTCGTAGTGGTCCAGACCCTATATTTTCTTCAC